ATCATTTTTTACTTTGATTTCGAAGAGAAGATTAATTTATTTCATATATATTTTTTGTATTTCAGGCATTATGGTCAGAACTAGTTGTTACTAACTTTATTAAAAAATAATTTTAATTTTTTGTATAACTTAAAGAAATATATTAATAATATATATACAAGGTGTGCCGTGGAGAATGGGATGTATGATATCTGGAGATTCTATGATTCAAAATGATATGATTAAACGAAACATACTTATGAAAAATGTTACTTGTTTCCGAAATACTGGTTATTAAAATTATTTAAATAATCAGTATAATTTTACTAAATTCAGCAATCGTTTTTAGTGTCATAAGATACACCTAACTGCAAAAAAACAATTAAACTTTGCCAGTAGCGTACTGCATGGGTAAATAACACCTTTGGCTTAATGAACTACGTCTTTCCATTTCGTTCTTTCTTTCTTTTCAGTTATTCGCTCCGTGCGTGACAGCAGCGCCAATTCGTTTTGGTACTAATGGACTATTTCTGCGTATACTGACAAATACAATTTTTAATAGAATTCGTAATTAAAAAGTATATATGTTAGTTTTAATAAAAGTATATGGATTTGTAAAACAAGTAAAACATTAATTTATTATTATTATTATTATTATATACTTTTATCGCTTAAATTAAAGAAAATTATGTATAATCAATAAAAATCAATAATAAAATATAGGCAGGCAACAGTATTTACTGGAAAATATATGAGAAGTCTAATGAATAATTAAAACTGGTTTCCCAACAGTAAGTCACAAAAATGCATTCCAGCCACATATAATAATCAAAGGCAGAAATCTTGAAATCTAGTCCTTGCTGAATGAACATTTAAGAATAAATGGATATTAAAGAACATCGTAAAATGATATTTATTGTTTATTTAAAACCTTTCAAGTTTCTGATGTCTACTATTTCCAGCATTACTGTTATTATTACAAAAATAAAGGTAATTTTTCTTCTTATTGTACACCTATTCATTTATTTCTTTGATTTAATTTCCACTTTGCTATTGAAATTTTTTATATAAGTTTCACTGTTTATTGTATTGTTTTTACCTAATTTTTTGAAAAAAAGCAATAGCGCTAGTATCGCTTTTGCTTCCCTTTCCATGACTTCGCACGGAGCGAATACCGTGCATATTTGGCAGTTCGAAATATTAGAGAGTTATTGCAAGTTCACTAAAGGTCAGTCACTATTAGGCATTCCAACGACCTGCCAAACTGCTGACAAGTGGGAACTGACAGATATGGCAACCCTGTGAGCCTGTTGTCATTGAGAGAGTCAATGATACATATCTAGTTATATAGATTGCTCAAAGTGGGTCGTTTACGAGCAGCCATATTGCTTCGCAAGTGCTTATTAATCGAAATCGATTTTGCAAAAATGTGTTTACAAATCAATATTTAGCCTTTGATTATAGTAAAAAAATAATTACCTACATTTTTACTTCAAGGTATAAGCTTATGTTTATTTTGAATAATATAGATGATCAATCTATGTAACTATCTATTTCATTGACCTTGTCAAATCACCAGGCCTACAGGGTTGCCATAATTTTACCATATCATAACCTGTCAAAACCCACTGGTAGCCATTTTGTTTGGAATGCTAATTAATGCCGCTCTTATTTTAAGATCCAAGCATGCGCAGATCGTTTGTTCTAAAACTGACTTTATTAAAGATTGTGCCTGTCCTTAATTGTGGATATTTAAGGACAGCAGGTAGTGGCGACTTTATAGCTATCGGGTGCGCTCGCCGATATTCGTATCCGTTCGAAGTTTTTAAATAATAAATATTTAATATAATCGTCATTTAAACCTTCTAAAATTATAATTTCTAATGCCTCTTCAATTTTATGTACTATTATAGACAAAAAAAAAAAGATGAACTAGAGTTGCCACCTGTCCTTTTTTGAAGCAAAATGTCCTTGTGATCTTTTAAAGCTTAAAATGTTCTTTTTTACGGCAAATGTCTTTTTTTACAGCACATCTTTGTAAGAGACATGGTTTGTACAAAAATATATAAGGCGAGGACTTTTTTTAGAAGCTCGATAGAATGACGGGGGGATTTTTTTTGTTACAAGCTCCGCGACCTTCTTTTTTTTTTAGAAGTTCAGTAGAAAGATGAGGACTTTTTGTATACCGGAGCCCCTGTCAGCATCGTAGTCCTTTATTCACTTTTTAAAAAGGTGGCAACCCTAGTAACGAACTAAGTGTTACCAACTTAATTATTTTGCGAAAAAAACACCAACCAACAACGACCACAAAAAAGGTAAATAAAGCCGAAAAATCGATAAAATAGTATAAAACACACGTTGCAGAAGGCTATTCTGGCACTCATTCGTTCGTCCACTCGCTCCTTCGTCGCTCATAGCCAATTTTGAATTCGTGCGGGAATATGTGGCTTTCTGCAACTCTTATTTTAATATACTATTTCCACAACTTTTCAATGGTAAACTTTTTAAATTTTATTAGCTCAAATATCTATGTGGATAAAATTCGTTCTATTTTAGGTACGAAATGGACCAGAGAAAGTTATGTTGAAAAAGGACAGAAGAAAAAGGAAGTTCTTCAACCAGTGTAACAATCTAGGTTTACCAACAAATTATTATATTTTAGGACAAGATAACCTTAAATTTGTTTTTATACACACTATACATATATTATGGGAACGGAATTATAGGCACCATACTCACCCAACAATAGATCTTTATCAAGAAGCTGGAATATTAGATATTTATCAGTTATTTGCAAAAATTATTATCACAAAACAACGTAAAGACAAACACACTTTACTATCAGTAAGTCATGACCACGCAACTCGATATAAATTAAATAATGTTGTAATACCTAAAGCCAAAAAAACTATAGGGCAAAAAAGTTATGCTTACCTTGGTCCCAAATTATATAATGAAATACCGTTAGAATTAAAGAGCATTTATTCCCTAAATCTATTCAAAGTAAAAATAAAAAAATGGATATATTCTATCCCTACTGCGAATCTGCAACGTTTTATTTCAACAAATAACGAATGTTATAGTCTGGTTAACTAGTTCAATTTAATAATTTGTCTAGAAAAAAAAAATAGTTGATACAATGTAAATATTAATATTAAATTAAACTTAGTATTACGTAACTGTTTTTCATATTATTCCAAATATTATTTTTGTATAATTTTTAATTTTTTTATAATATTGTAATATTGTGTTTTATTAAGACTGCTCGTCCTAAATAACCAATAATAACCCATGCTCAAGGATTCTTTTTGTGGGTGTTTCTGTTTATTTATCTCGAACGAACTTGATATACATTATACATTGTTTTTATATTATTTTTGGTAAATAAATTATTATTATTATTATTATTATTATACAATTAATCAATTCAAACACTCTTTATCTAAATTATAGAATTCTGAGATTGGCCATTTTAGAATCAAGCCACAGATGTATTCTTATTTGGAAACTTATAAAGTGATTGATTTTACAGATATTCACATTCAAAAATGGTTGTTCATTATTTTTATTTTTAAATTGCGATACGCCACTGCCAAATTTTATTTTTCTGTTAAGTGTATCTTATGACTTATGACACCAAAAACGTTTTGTAAAATTATACTGAGTAATAAATCAATAATAATTTAACACCCAGAATTTCAAAAACGAGCAACAAGTATGTTTCATTAATTGTCTCATTTTGAATAAGAGAAACTTCAGTTGTTTTATATCTCATTCATAATGGGACAACCTGAATACAAATTTCAATTAAAATTAATTGTTTTCAAGCAAGATTTCTATGAAAATATATAATCTTTCATTTTTTTAGTACAAATATTATTAATTTTAGGTTTTTAGTAGTAAAGAAATACAAAAAAAATTGAAATTTTTTCATTATTAATTTTATAAAATTATTATTCATAAAAAGTTCTGCATCATATAGAAATAAGAATCAAATTTGTAAAATGAAAATTATTATTCATAAAAAGTTCTGCATCACATGGAATCAAATTTGTAAAATTAATAGTGGAAGTACCAAACGCACTAAGTACCAAATTCATAAATATAAGAAAATTAGGAAAATAATTTTAATAAGCGTATTTTTTTTCCTTTTACGTACCATCTTGTTTTAATTCACATACGTTTAAAAATTATATGACACTTAGATCGTCTGTGGAGATATTAGCGATGATATTGTCGTCCCTGTTCTTTGTTGACCTTCACCGCTGCCGTTACCACTAACGCTGGCGATCGAGAATCGGCTGGAATGTTTTTTGTACGCAGGCCGACACGTGGATGAAGGATTTCATGAACACATCGATAGTAATAAGAATTTGATGTTTTCTATGCCGTTACATTTTTGTATATAAGTGAATTATTTTGCAGTACTAAGTTAGGTTTTAAAATAAATGTTGTCGAATGAAGATAAATTGTTAAATAAATTAGAAGTGTGAAGTTCTTAAGTATAAATAAATTAATTAGTAAATATATTATAAATAAACTGTTTTAAATTAAACAAACGTTACAGTATTTAAAACCTTTTTAAGCACATTTCCAGAAAATTTAGATTTTGGTACTATTCCTCAAATGTTTAGTGGTAAACATGGTAAATCATTTTTTTACTCTATCTAAAATGCATCTAAAATTTGATACAATTTTTAATTCCTATAAATATTTTCAATATTTTGTTCTTTAATTAAATTAAAAGGCACTCTATTCTTCAGCATAAATTAATATTTTTTATTTTTCCTGTATTACGAAAAATATTTTACAAATTTTATTTTTGATTATAGATTTTTATGTGATGCAGAACTTTTTATAAAGAATAATTAATAACTGTCCCATTTGTTTTCAACTTTTTTAGATATACTGTATAAACCATGACAGACACTTGCCTTCTAAATCCTTGGTAATTATATAATATACTAATTAAAGTACTATTTTATAAAAACAATGTATGAAGAAATAATACCTATACTTACATAATGGATTCGACAGATTTTGGTTTGACAAAAACTGCGATAGGATAAAGCTGAGCGACTTGCAACCGCTTTATTGCATTTCCACTAACATCCAGAATACAATGTTTGCCCTAAAAAAAAAATAAAGGATAAAAACTTTTTTCTACGACACTATCCAAAGTAGGCTTTTGAACATTTAAATTTAACTGGAAAATTGACGTTTTCCATGAATTGTCATAGTTTGACATTATTGCCGCATATAGGCGGAAAGTTACTTTTTGCACACGATTATTTTCATTAGAAAAGTTGTTATTATAAAGCTAATCGGTATTTTAAAAAAAAATGTAGACTACTCTAAATCTTTTTGTTGAAATTACATTCAACATGTCCTATCTGCTAATCTAAATCAGTACTTAAAAAACAAAAAGAATAAAATACTAGATAGACCATCCCTGTATAAACCTCCGCATTTAGCAAACAAAAAGAATAAAGTACTGAATAGTCACTCCTTGTATAAACTAATTATCTAAACTTGTGAAACAACCCGGTTAACTTTCAAATAACCTTCAGACACCTGCGACTTCGCAAACGGGTAAAGCAAAGTCACGCAAGATTTTTTCACCCAATCATGACTCTCGCGCGCAATCATAAGGCTAGATAACCAATTAGAACAAAGCCGGTAAAACCGATGCGAACTAACAAGCTTGCATCGAAAAACAAAATGCTCACTTTCGCTCAGTCAGTCAAACAAACAACAAGTAAAACTCTTTAAAAGGGCCGGCAGTCGCCGTAAGTTACTTTAAAGCATTTGTGCGATTTGATTTGCAAAAGTTAACATGTAATCGATCAATAAATTTATGTAACCAAGTAGTAAATGTGTAAAATATGAAATCAGCAAGCCGTGAATATATCAAATTCTAATATAGGGTGATAGTTTTATTTGAATAAACCCAGTTCTTCAACCAGAACTTCAAGAGTATCTTCCAGAGGCTACAGGGTGGAGCATAAGGCCTTCACCCCAGTTAATCTATTTCGAATACAGTCATACAGTCCACCATGATCGAAGGCAGTAAATGTCAAGCCCAATAAAGCTAGGGTGAAACACTTTTAGTTGAACTTTTAATACTCAAACTCATTTTCCTTAATATTTAAATGATAATTAAAATATTAAAAATAAATTACCCTGTTTTTAACACTCATATTTAACATGTTTTGTTGGTGTAGAGCCTAACGCGTTTGTCTTTGAACTTGATGGTCGTGAGTTCAATCCTCACCAGTTATTATTTTTTTTTAAATTTGATTTTTTTGTTTGTAAAATTAAATAAAACTTGAAACAGTGTATAAGCCATTAATTTGCGATTTGAGTATTCTAACCGATGATCTTGTAAGTTATTTTTAACTAACAAATATTTTTTATGCGTATCACAAAATTAATCCTAGAGTAAGCAGGCAACACATTATACCCAACATACTTTTCGTTTGCTAGTCAAGTTAGCCTTGTATGTCAAATTAACATAGTAAGATTTAAATTCGGCAAAATAAAAGTATATACTTTTAATATCGTGTGATCTTAGAAAAAAATCTTGTGTGTAATACGAGCGAAAAGCTATTTGCCGCTTACGATAAAATGCCGCATTCCGCTGCGCGTCGCGCGGCAACTTTTTATCTTAAGCGGAAAAGTAGCGCTTTCCGCTCTTAATACACAAATAGCTATTTATCTCTATCACCCAACACAATTACCTTGTCCGCTACTTCTCGAACGGAAGCCACTGAGGTGCCGTACAAGTTGTCATTGTACTGTCCAGCTTCGATAAATAGGTGATTTTGGATGTCTTTCTCCATTTGTTCTCTAGAAGCTACGAAATGATAATCTCTGGCGTCGACTTCGTATTCTCGCTTTGGCCGCGTTGTATCTAAAACAAATTAACAATTAACAATTTGTCCAATACATAATTGAACAAAGTTCTGTAGAATGGAACAACCCACATGCTCATTGACAATAGATTTTAAACATCAAAAGTTTCAAAATTATGTCTATTGCCTGATGTTTATGATCAACGGATTGGTTTTATCCTGCATTATAATTGAACCTGTCCAATATTATAAAATTGTGGGATGGTCCCTTTCTTCAATATTTTCAATTAAGTAAAAATCTATCATCTATTCATTTTTTACTTCTAAGGAGTAAAATTTATAAAAGAACACCAAAATAATAATGGAATACAAAAAGAATAGGCCACTTTAGAGTTCTAAAAAATGGAAAAGTGTTAAGGATTTGATGAATGAGTGGATAATACATATTATACTGCAACAAAAAATTGGAGAGGGTGAGTCATATGCGTCATCAACACTTTTGTTTCTAAATGAAAGTTCTGACAAAAAGTAACAGAGTCAGCATAGGCAAATAATTATTTGTTATCAAAAGTTATTAAATTGCTTTGTCAAAATCTTTAGTTAAACCAAGATGGTGCGTTAAATATACATAGCCTAATAATATTAATAGGACTATTTACTTTGGCAATTGTCTCTAATACGAAAAATGACCTGCCACTTGTAAAGCTTATTTATTTATTTTTAATGAAAGAAAAAATATGGATATGTAGGTAAAGGTTAAATCTATGTTTCGAAGTCACTTTTCCAATGTTTGATATAGTTTTTTTTTTTTTTTTTTTTTTTTTTTTAATATTGAAAAAACCATAAAAAAGGCATTTTTCAATTAAAAAAATAAATCAAATTTTGGAAAAGTGGCTGCACAGAAACATACTTAACCTTTAGCTACACGTATACATTTTTTATTCTATTAAAAATTAACTTTAATAATGAGGAACTGCCAAAAGTTTGCATGGCTATATTTTAAATAAAACATGAAAGATTCTATTATATTAGAGTATATTACTAATAAGTTAAAAATCAGTAATATAAAAATAAAATAACGCAATAGGACGACAATGTCGACAGTTTTCGAGCCATTAGCATGAGAAATTAATATTATTTATGACTTTGTTATGTGTTTAATGGTATTATTATTATTAACAGACGCCCTGATCTCTTAAAAACATGTCATCTCCGTTCTTGGGAATTTCTTTGATAGTTACTTTCGTGTGGATTACTTACAAAAGTCAAAAATACCAAATCACTTAAAATCAGTTTTAATAAAGAGTATAATTTTGTAATATTTGAAGGCGATGACAAACGGATGTCTTTCAAGTAAATAGACAACAGACAGGTTACGGGTTGAATATTGTCAGCACACCCACAAAAACAGATGGAGTATCTGTTTCAACAGTTGAACGCGTTGTAGGCGAAATTACAAAGGCTTCTTACAAGCTCTTAAAACGCATAACCATGGTTAAAAATTGTTGAAATTGGACGTTAACTAAAAACAAATAATACAAAGAACTGTACATTCTTTTTTGTTTCAAATAAAGTACAAACCCTTAAAGTTGTTGTTGCGAAATTAAGAGAAAACGAAGAAATTCCTTTAATCACCCGTAAAGCTTCGTTTGTTCACTCGGTATAGGAGATCAATTTTAATTGAGGGGTCAGATATAGCGTCCAGGCGATGGCGTTATTTACGAAGTATTAAAGAGTTTAGAGACATCAAAAATATATACTATCTCAATGAAACGTGGGTGAATCCTGGACATACGGTCATTACCAAGCTTTTGTGGCGGGATTATCTACAGGTTCTAAGGCTCCATTAGGTAAAGGGCAGCGCCTAATTGTTAACCATTCCAGGAGGGGCAGTAACTTTTTGAATAACAGTGCTATTGTGTTTATATAAAAAAAAAGGAGACTACCACAAGGACATGAATGTAGAATGCTTAAAAAGTGGTTTACTGAAGTGTTACAGCGTGTAAAACCAAATTCAGTTATTGTACCAGATAACGCTTCTTATCACAGCTGACGAGTTGAACGCATTTCGACCATGTCCAGTAGGAAAGCGGATAAACAAAGCTGGCTTTCTGGCTTTGGGATAAAACAATAATATTTACTAAGGAGATGTTTAAAGTGGAATTAATGGACCTTATAAAGGAAGAATGCCATAAATATATTCAATATGTTGTCGACACAATAGCTTGTGATGGTGATATTACGTTGCTAAGGCTTCTCCTTATCACGCGAATTTGGGAGCAAGTGAAAGGGTTTGTGGCTCGAAAAACCAATACATTTAAAATAGCCAATGTTCAAAGTTAACTAAAATCGGTATAGAACGTATAAAACAAAGATTGGTAGAATCCTATTTCTCATGTAATTAAGGAAGAAATTAATATGGGGCGCTTAAAAGGTATGATTGAAACATTATTTGAACCTTTAATCATAACTTTAAGTTCCGACGATAAAGACGATTTCAGTGATAGTTCTGCAGAATCAGTGGATTATGATACTTTATAAATTCAGAACTCATGTAAATAATAGATAGCTTCATTTCCAGATTTTCACAATCAACAAAATTAAATTATAAACAGATGATTATTACAACAAAAATAGATAACCAACCTACTTTCATCTATTAATATTCACTCATATCCCATTTAAATATTCAATTTGCCAATGTAATGTTTCTACGCCACTGGAAGAATCATTTTGGCAATGAACATGCATTGACGACTAGTATGGCACGTGATCTGATAGCTTCTGCAGTCATTCAACGCGTGATTCCCTTGTGATACCATTCATAATTCACCAGTATAGTACGATGATTGTACATGAACAAGGATGAATCATCTTCTCCAATATTTTATTCGATTATAGTAAAAAACCAGAGATAAGCTGGAAAACAGTCTTTGAAGGATAAGAAACACAAAATGACAAAGACCTTTGAACTTGTGAAGAAATTGAGAAAAATAGTTTTAAAATACTATAAAAAACTATAAAATATAGTCTGCCAGTTTACTGTTCTCATCGAATAAACCAGTTTAAAAAAAATAGAAGAAGGTGGAAAAGCTACAAGTATACAATTTCAAAACTATACTTGAAATGAGAAAAAAGGTAATAAATAAGAAATGAAACGGTCGAGGAAAATAGTGGTCTAAATAAACAGGACAAGGATCAAATGGAACTGATAAATTTTAAAGAAAAACAGATAACATAAAACAACTAAATATGTTTGGACACACAAGAAGAAAAACGAGGTAGACTACGAGGTAAATAATCTCAATTTATTGAGACTTTTCAGGTGTTAATTGCAGTTTCTACATTAGCTTTTTGGGCCTTTACCCATTACGAACATCAAGTCCTATAAATATTGCCTTACACCTTTTTAGTCTTTAGTTTTATTGAAACTTATCATAACTGAAACCAGCGGATTGCCCACATATTCTGGTATACCCTGTACATGTCAATAGTTATTTCTTCATAATAAATGTTATTCTTGTTTCACCAGAGAAAAGTAAAAATTCCTCCAGTCATCGATGGTCAAATTTTTTTATGACAGCAGAAAGTGGCATAGCCAGAAATTTGTCGTGAGGGGGGTGTTTTTGAGAGCTATGGGAGGGGGGGGGGGGGGGGTTCCATCAGCAAAGTGAAATATTTCAGATAAGATCGTTTTTATCGAAAAAAGGTAAATATAAATAAATTAGCACATCAAATTTATGTCTAGGAATCTCGACAATCAATGTCGTGATGGTCTAGAAGGAAGGGCACTTGTCTAGCATATAAGGATTTCCGGGTTCGATTCCTGGCTGAGACAGGCTTTTTTTCAAATCTTTTCACCTTTAGAGTTTGGGGATGGTCTTAATAATTCGTAGGGGGATTTTTGAGATTTGTTTCCGAATATTTCAATTATTCAGCTACTTATTTCAGATATTTTTCCGACTTTTCGGATTTACGATAAATAAATTTACAATTTTCATAAATAAATAATTTTTTATTAAACGATATGTGTGAATAAAAATAAACAGCTGATGGCGATCAACACCAGTACGATGTCAAGAACGTGACGCTAAGGCTCACCTTGGGTGGAGGGGGGAGTTCGACTTCGACCCCACTGACAGCAGAGAGTTACTCAAACTATTGAGTGGTAGAATTATTTTGGTACAATTAGTTTCTTGACATAAATAGAATCGATTTCTTTCTCAGATCATGAAAATTTTTTTTGTAAATTACCAGTTTGAAAACGCATTACATAAAAAAATCTTTAATGGATTAAAACTTAAAAGTAGGTATACGGCCCAAAGCCTGGGAATAATAATGATATTTTAATGTTTTTAAATTGAAAAAAACTTTATAGTACATAATTAAAATGTTCTTTTCATGAATCTTTTTTTATTCATTAGGTTTCATAATTAAACTTTCAAACATAATTTTTCCTTAGTGTCAGACATTTTTAATTAGTGAACTACCGAATCCATACTGAAACGAATAATGTATTTAAAAAAGTAAAAACAAAACGTAAATTACTGTACATTATTAGAATTTAAACACCGTGCAAGTAACAGCTGCACAAAACTAATGTTGCATAAAAATAAATTCGTTACGAAATTGGATAAAAATATAAGAACGTGGAAATTTAGTTCTACAAGTTCATTTGTAATAATAAAAGTTATCTAGAAAAGTTACCAATGAAATATTTTTGCAGCAACACTATTATTGCAAAGGGTAACAAAAGAAATGGACTTCGAGTTAATGAGTATGTAGTATTTTTGAAAAATAAACATGTAGTATAAAAGGGATTTTCTATTTCCGCTGAACATATCTAGTAGGCGATTATATTTTGTCTAACATTTCAAAATCTAAATGTTTAGTTAGTGATAGTTATCAAATATAACTGATGAAGTTTAAAGTAATCCTTTCGTCAATAAGTGATGGAAATGAAAAAGAGGCAATATCGTACCGTTATTTTTTACAATTTTAAGCGTGGCTTCCACCGTAAAAAATGTTTCGAGGAAATTAATCGGGTGCTTGGTGCAAATCATATTCCTTCGCTACCGTAAAGTGGTGGTACAATGAATTTCAACGTGATCGACTTTTCTTTTCAATTACAATTTTCGAGCACATAAGCCAAAAACAGCAGTTACAGTAATATATCGATCTTATTCGGAACATGATTAAAGGAGATGGTCAGATTACTGTCACAAACATTAAGCAACTGTGAAAGTGTAACAGCAGTTAACACTATTTTACACAAATATTCGAAAGTAAGCTTTGTTATCGGAGGATTGGCCACAACTTGACTTTGGCTAAAAAAAAAAGACTGTGTGAGATAGTGCAGATCTACACTAGATCGCTTTGACTGTGGATCGTCTAATTTGGTGTATAACATGATCACAGGTGATTAAACATGCTATGATCTCGACAAAACGTAACAATCGCCAGTTTGGGTCTTTGAGAATGAGTCAACTAAAACAAAAGTTAATCGTTAAAAAAAATTGAAATTACTGGGCATGTTTCATGTAGCAACGGAGGATCTGTAACGTGTGGACGGTGGGTTACCCCCCACGGCACTTAGGCCTCATTAGGCCCATTGTGCATCCTCCTAAGATGATAGGAACCTCCTAGCTCGTGAGCCAGTCTACTGATTTAATATAGTTGACACCGTCGCCAAGAGGTGCTGCTCTTATATCGGCCGGTGTTAACCGATACTCGCCGAACACAAATCTTCTAATAAATGAGTGCGTCGAGCAATCGTAAAGGATATGCTCATCTTTTTGTTCGCACCCTCTGCAGAGTGCGGATTCTGACAGCCCCATGATATGGAGATGCTTTCGTACTTGGCAATGACAAGTCAGAATGCCTGTGACTAGGCGCAGATTCTGTCTAGTCATAGTCAAATATGTGTTTGCTGCAGTGTTGTCAGGATAACTTAAGAGCTCCATGGCAACTCTGCAGTTTCTTGTTTCATCCCATCTTTCCTTGAATTTCACAAGGAAATGTTCTTTAAAGTAACGGAGGATAAATGTACTGTTAATTCAAAATGGTACACTACAGTTTGTTTGCTCAGGTTTTCCAAAAGATTCGCGAAAAACGTCCAAGAGTAAGCATCATCTTGTATCAAGATAACGCTCGGCTTACACTGCAGCTCGAACAAATAATTATTTGACAAAAACATAGAAATAATGGGTCATTCGCCATACAGTCCGTAATTATAATTATTATCTCCAGGGTACATTAAATATTCTACTCGATCTGACTGTCAAATCAAAGAAATTTTTGTATCGCCAAAAGTTAGGTTACCAATCATCCTGTACCTATTTCATTGTAGTACATTTTTCTTTTTTCTACTGTCAAATTATGGTAAATTGGGTAAAAAACTTATATTCGATCAGGTACCTATTTAAAAAGAGCTATAATAGCATTGATATGACGGGTTGACTCTTCACATATTTACATTAGTCTCTCAGATTTAAATTTTTGTCAGTTTGACAATTGACAATTTTCGAATACTGATCCCTGATTGGCTGGATGGCTTAACCATTCAGATATTTTTCACATAAATGTTCATCATAATCTATCGAAACCAACAAACAGCGTTTTTTCAGGGAAACTAAGACAAAACACTATAAACACAGATCAATTATTATCGTTGATGGCAAAGATTAATGATAAATATCACATAGTATTTTAACAAAAAAATGTATGGTTTAAGACATGAATGTCTGATCGTGAGGGAAAAATCAGCCTGGGAAATACAAATATATTGTTGTCGAAAAAATATTCAAATACGAATAAAGTCTATAAGAAAAATGGTTAATTAATGACAATAATATGTTTCCTTAAAATGGAACTAGTCCAGTAAAGAACAATAATGAAATAATATTTGCAGCAAAAAGAATAACTCCTACTGCAATTCATCAAAGATATGATGTCAAGCAAGATTGAGTGTGTCTACAGTAATCATATGATGTAGTGAAACCTATCGATATTTAAAATACCGGATGATATTAAAATACAGAAAAGGGCCTAAAGCTGAGAAGATATGAAAATACAAAACGGATCAATCTGGTGTACAGATACAAAACATCACAGGAACTGGGATTTAACATGTGAACACAGGGAAGACAATCTAAGACTAAGGGCAACTTGTTGAAGTAACAAAAACACTACAAAGGGTAGAAGTGCAATCCAAAGTAATATTGGACTGCCAACAGTCCCTCCAAGCTCTGGCAGAGCATAAGATCACCCTTGAATAGGTGCCGGAATAGTAGGGAGCGTTGGGAAATAAGAAAGCAGACTTACTAGCCAGAAAATAGCTGAGAATACTTTAACTTGACCAAAAATCACATCTTAAATAAACGTAAGTAGAGAACACCAAAAGTGCTGGGTGAAACTTTCTGGACTCAGGCAGTCCAAAATATTCATAAAGGGTCTATCCAAAAGTATGAAAACTGAACTGCTAAAACTTAGCAGGGAAGAACTCAAGACTGTAACAGGACTCTGTTCAAAAATTACAAGCATTTTTTAACACATACTTTAGTTACTCTCTTTATGATCCACCACGTATAAATACATATATTTTATTATTGAATCTAGCATTACATTATCGAATTTAAAAATCTCATACAAATCAAGGCCAACCCTGGCAGACCAAGAATAATTCAGCTCAACAGATATCGAGTTCCAAGACAACACATACTTTGCACACCTGCAGCATATTTACTATTATTTTCACTAACAGAATACAGTTTTTCTCACTCAGAAAATTTTGAGTGAAACAAATAAAAGAGATGTTTTAAACCTACATGTTCATTATAAAAGTTTAAACACTCATAAAATTATGTAAAATTGTTTTGCAATCCAATACAAGTTTATAGTATTAAAATAAACAAGTTATCAAGAAGTTCACCAATAAAATCATACATTCTACAAGTTCTACAAATATACAGTCCATCTCGTTTCCCTATAACAGGAAGAAACGCGTGGGTGACAAGAAGAAAAATAAATCGACGTCATCTCACAACAGACTATATGAAACACTGCGGTCTTAAAAAGACACTTACTTAAATCTCTTAGCGATATCTGACTACTTCCCTATGTAGAAAAGGCGAAGAAGAGAACGAAACTTCTATTCACATACTATGCCATTGCCGGAACCTTACATGGGAACGGGAACGGCACAAAGAAATCTTGAGAGCACCCATCAGGCATTCTTGAAGATATTAACCTAATGGGGTAGAAACTAGGAGGGACACAATAATCGTAGAGTTTCAGGACGAGCTGGCTTTAAATCATGCCCTAATTCAGTTAGACAGAAGTTTAAAAAGGCATTTGCACACTAAACCGTTAGAATAGTATTCAAATAATACCTTAATCCAGATCGCTAACTAAATAATTTATATATTTCACTAATAAATTACAGAAACAAATTCCAAGTAGTATGTCGAAAAAAGAAGAAAGGTAAGATTTTTTAACGTAAACTTATGAATGAGACATACAATATTGCACTATAGTTAGAATAAGGAAATAGGTTGGGCACCACCAAATGCCAATCGATAAAGTTTTCTGACCATAGATGTTTGGATATCTTCTCACTTGAAATAGTGTGTGTCGTGTCTGGTCAGTTAGATAGATTACAAGTAGTTGGACGTTATTTGTCCTTGTCCACCGCGACCTTTTCAGATCTATTGTGGGACTCCGTTTTTTTAGAGTATGTCGTCTAGCTTAGTCTTTTTTATTAGACTTAATAGCTTTGTCAGTGGCTCCCGCATGTAATTGCATGCGTTTGGCTTTTCTTCGCCTAATGTTAGAAACCTCATTCTAGCCAGGCCTTCACATTGGCACAGGACGTGGACTCTTCTTCTGGTCAGGTAAGTACCAGGGAGTTCATTTGTTTCAAGAGGGAATCGTAAGAGATCATCTGTTTATCAGCTCAAAAATAAGCTATATAAACCGAAAAGCATTAGTCTTGTTTCTTAGTATGGAGACCGAAATTTAAATAGAATGTATTTAAAGAACGCTATACCCTTTCTAACCTATTAATATGACACGTGTAGGATAGTTAGATTAAAGAACAGTATTCTAGAATGTTTCTGACTAAACAGTTATATTGGGATGTGTCTTTTATGTGATGTGAGCGACGTTTAATAAACCAAGCATTTTAAAATTCTTGCAGATGATATGAAGGTTAAAGGATAAACTTGTGTCACAGATGATGCCAAGATCGTTTACTGAGGAGGATTTTTTAGTGTCACTTTATCGATTTTGTAAGTGTTCGGAATAAAATTGGGACATCTCATGAAGTAAATTGTAGCATATTTATTTATTATTTAGAGACATATGGTTTAGTCTGCACCACATATTGAAGTGATTGAGGTCCGATTGTAAAGCTGAGTTGTCATCAATCTTTATGCTTAAAATTTTAAATAACAGGAAGTCAATATTTAAAAAACAAGATATTGCATCATTTATAAATAATAAAAATAGGACAGAACCAATTAGAGATATTTGTGGAGCACCCGAGGTCACAGAGACTGAATTTTGCACGCTAACGTGCTGAAAGCCATGACTTAGGCAAGAGTACTAATTTCTGCTAGTTTTTTAAGACACAAATTCATGTCAAACACTGCAAAAGCTTTAGAGAAGTCTGAATAGATAGCGCCAACCTTATGACCAGCTTCGGGAGGTGAGAGTAAGTACTCTTGATACACGTCAAGATTTGTTGCAGATGAGGATGAAGGTATGTAGGAATTATGAAAAAAAAAAAGGGAATAATGAATTTAAAAGAAATAAAGAGGCATCTGCAATAGATATTATTTTTTTTTATATATAAATACTTACGTGGTACACAACTGCCGAACTTGTCAGGAAACTCTGATATCAAATCATCATTGATACGATCTTTGAGTGGACCCAGTACAATAACCGGTCTGGTATAATTTATATGCAACTGCTGTACTGGTTCGTACGATAAAACGGTTTCCTCGTTGCCTGAAAAGAACAAATTCGTATTTTAAATTTTAGAAGCTTGTAACAAAACATTTCGCAGTTTTCGTTCGTTTTACCTAAAGCTGTTTAAATCGATTCGGATTATTTGAATCATTCTGAACGTTTTGCCAGACACTTGAAATGCTTGATAGAGTTTAGTAAACCATAACTTTGGTAATTTCCGTTTTATATTGACTATATTTAAAAAAAAAATAGTTGAAAGAACAGTGTTTTATTATATTTTTATTGTATAGCGTCAGTTAAAATGTAGTTAGTACCAGAAAAATCAACAATATTTAAATTTTAGTTGTTAGTCACTCAATGATGGAAATATTTAAAAAATTTGAATGACAGATCCATTTGAAAAAAAAAAACATATCATTTATAGTTTGATCATTACATTTGCTGTAGAAAGACATAAATATCTTACTGTAGATCGTTCTACTTTTATAGGAGCTAAATTGACTAAATAATGAGCATTTTCAAGGTAATGTGCTTATTGTAGAACTGTCATGTTTACATGATGAATCTTAAGTTGATACTTCTTTTAATTGTGTATAGAAGTCCTTGAAAAAAACTCAAAAAAAAGTTACGGAATTAAAAAATCTAAATCCGGACCTGGACTTGTGTATCAAAAATTAAGCCACCTGGGAAGTTTATTTACGTTTATCTTTTTTACCTTTTTTAGGTTTTTATCATAAATCACGCTTCATCGGTTCACTCGGGTTGATAAGTAGCGTGTTTATATGACAACAATGAACTTGTGATTATGTTGTTTACTTATGGTAAATGTCTTCAAAGTGAATCCTGAGACATCGGTGTTGTACAGAATATACAGTGAACGCTTTACCATATGTTTCAACATATAAATTAATATAAGGTTCTTATTTTGAGTTTTCTGAAAAAGTTGTTTATTTTAATGACATCTATACACGGTTAAAAAAAGTATAATTCTCGATAAATTTCATTTAAAGATTGCTTGTAGTTGCATACACTCAAACGAGAAAGGTTTTAAATTAATGTAAATTAAAAAGACTCTGTAAAGCACAACATCTACTATCACTTGAATTATTTAAATTTTCCATCAATAAAATCTACTTTATAGTACTGGCAATACGTTCAAAAAAATGTGACACAAAGTAAAAATTATTAGTCATCTTATTTAAATAAAAATTCTTTTTAGTAAACATCCACTCTATAAGCTAAAACTTTGGACTATTTAAATGTCACTACTAAGAGAACCATACTGTTATAGCTGAATCTAATGCTAGGGTAAAATTCTAGAGAGTGCGGAAAAACTGTGAACAATACATTATTATTATTATAGTGTGGTAATCTTAGTTACTACTTTTAAAAAACATTCACAGTTGTCACTGTTTCCCTAAGAAAGAAGCTAAAAACATTTTAAAAATAAATACTTTCCCAAATGTATGCAATTCCTTTTTTTAACTGTTTTCCTGAACTATAAAAATACCCGGACTATAATTTAATTTTGAATTGCAATATTTACGAGAAAGTATCGTTCTTAGATTCGTTCGTAAAAAATGTAGGACAGTAAAAAAATTAAAAAATAAAAAAATTATGCAAATATGCAAATAAGGTAAAAAAATTCCTAATTCAAAAAGTACGTTCTAATAACTAAGTTGTTATGCATGGTATTGTTGCTCTAGTTGATTTTTGTATCGAAAAAAATGTTTCTAAATATTATGCACATTCGAATATCTAAAATAAATGTGGCTTCTAATAGCTACTTTAAATAATGTGACAAAGTACTACTTTTTGGCGAATTTTACTTCAACATTTTATACTATACTACTGAAAAAAAATTCTCAATTTTTTTTATAGGTTTTAATATATAATAGATGTATAAATATGAAACCATGTACCAACTAACTAAGAGAGAACGCAAATTAGAATACCTCTACACTACACTCCTATCTTGGCCAGAATTATATTAGAATATTATGTTGTTAATATCTTTAAAGCTAATAAATCGTAAAACAAATAAAAAAAAAGTATTTTTTAGAAAATTATGTGCAATTTTATAATAATCATCACAAAAAGTCACTTTATGTGCAACTCTTTCCTCTTCAAAATATCGAAGAGAAGTATTTAGTGCGATCTCGCTTAGTTATGTGCACATAAATACTCGTACAATACTTATTATTTTCTTTCATTTCATAATACATATACCTATTTCCTTTTGGAATATATTTTAGAGCAACCTATGGATGAATTTTTTTTAAATTTAATTATCGCCATTTTAAGGTAGTTCACTCGTAAAACGGCTTTTCTTAAGAATTCAATAAAATTTAAATATAAGGTTAATGAAAGTGTCTTTTATGTGACTAAAAAAAAAAAAAAATTAAATTTTTTGACCGTCTGTGAAACGAGATATTAACAATCAAAATATGCATAATTAACACTCTTGAAGCCTTTCATGTACACAAGTAATGCATTTATTTCCAGATATCTCGAAAACGGTTCTTACCATATTTTTTAAAAACTAATGTAATGTAAATCAAGAAGTTATAAAATTATCTAAAGAAACGCTGAATTTTTTGACCATCTTAGTAAAAAGATAGATTTTTAAAATAAAAATATTTTTAAAGCAATCGACGCGTAGTTGTGTAAAATTATTACAACTTGGCAACGTTGTATACGCTGCAATCAACGCGTTGTACCAAAATACCACTCGATCAGCTAAGAGGATGTTATAACATCGCGACGTTTTCTTGAAAAATTAATTCGTCCACTGTATTTGAGAACTGGAATCAGCGTGTTGGAACCAAAACAAACCCTTAAAATTAATATGAGGAAGTCACAAATTTCTATAGCAAACCATTGATATATTTATGAGGTTGCCGGATGGATTTTATAAAAATCCATATATATAAGCTTACATGCGTTTTGTACAGTCTCTTACAAAAATAAAATTGATTAGCATTGAGAATCTCGAACGATTGGTATTCACCAGTAAGCGATATTTTTATGTGTGACTGTCGCGAGTGAACTACCTTAAATGCTATTTATGAATATAAAAATATAGTAAACTTCTTCGTAGATATTGTTTGTTATTACATATTTACAATATTAAGACATGGTTAGTATAAAATACAACCCAAATTATAAAATATACCCTGTACAAAACAGTTAATATTCTACAAATAATAAAAATGCCCTTTTCAATTTTTAAATATACCACAAGGTTCTGTTTTAGTACCACTAATTCCGAGCATGTAAAAAATCGCCGAAAGAAATATTGATAATAAGTAAATTATGCGTGGTCAAAATTGGTGACAGAACCTTAGGGCGGATACGGTCACATTATTTGAAGGTCGCAAAGTAGGTAAATGATTTTGGTGAGAAGGTGAGACGAATAAAAAATTGTAAACTACTGTCACAACAAAGTCTCCTTAGTAATAAAGTTGATTAGTGAGCCCAACACATATATTATATATGTTACAATAATAACGAATAATTTAATGAAATATTGAGTTAACAAATTGTATTAGTGATGTGAACATGAACTTGTGGCGAAGCTGTTGTTATTTGTTTCTTTAACTATTAAGCCAATTAGATACACGAATATAGTTTTTAAGGGACATATTCAAACTAGACAAAAACATGACTTCTTACATATTACAGATATTATGTTATGGTTTTATGCTGTAACATTTGATACGTATTGTTTAAATATATGTGTTTAAGTATCAAGTAGTGGAACTTAAAAAACAATTTACAAAATAAAATTAATCAATTTAATGGGTAAAAATTATTTCAGATTTTAGAACCCGAAAGTAAGGTTATGTTTTAGTGTGTTTTTCTTTACGAATCATTTACAAATGTTCCAGCATAAAATGTAAGTATTAAGTGATTTTTCTAACAAATTTTAACAAACACACGATTTTTTTTTGAAAAAATTGATAGTGCAGTAAAAGGGGCGAAATTCAAAAAGTCCAAATGTCAGTGTCGCTCCAACGAAAATATTTTTTTGAGATTGAGGATTATTTATGTGTTTTTTGTACAGTAAAAAAAAATATTATTACATGTAAATTGTTAAATTTTAAAATATATACTTAGAAGCAATTAAATGCAACTTTACAAGGTTTTATAACCTTCAATTTTTACAAAAAAAGATTATTATTGAATATTATTGATTATTAATGAATATTTTGGATTTTCAGTGCTATCAAGAGATTTTAAAAAAGTTAATATTTCGAGAGAGAACGTTCTAAATTTTGTTGACATTTTGTTAAATTTTATTAAATATCAAAAAATAACTAGTAACAAAATGAAAATTAAAGCAATAGCATGTTTAAGTAAAAACATTCAATATTTAAATATTTAAAACTTTTTGAACATGAGCCCAATGTATATAAAGGGTCATTCACTGAATTTATACCCATATCGGATTAAGAAACAGATGCACGACTGAGCCGGTCTACAGGATAATTTCGCATCAGATAGTTGAGTAAAATAAGCGTAGTCCTCCGGTGGGTAGAGGGTGAATATATTTTAATTATTAAATACTTATATAGTATGTAATTATGTTTATTAAAATTAAATTACTAAAGTAATACACGAAAAAATAAAAGTATTTATAATTTTGTTTTAGACATTGTTTATGGTAATACCATTTTCCCCGAATACAATAAACGCTCTATGGTCAGGAATTTCCGGAAGTCCCCTTCTCAGGTATAAAATTAAGATTAAATGTTCTATTTTTGTACTGATGTTATAGGACTAATTGCGCTAAATTATTTAGTTCAGTTTTGGATTTCGAAGAGAAAGTATGTCGAAACTGAAAATGCCGAAGCACGTGTTACGTGTAGATGACTTAATTTGTAATCTACATAAGTATTTTACGGCGGAAAAAGATAACGGAGGACCTTTAAAGCCAGTAGTGAGTGTGCATGAACGCGTCTGTACAGCTCTCGGTATTAGTGATTCAAAATTAAAATATGTTTTGAAAAACGTCCAAAGCGGAGAGAGCAAAAAAA